CCCCATAGTAGATCCTTTTTGTGGCTATTATTTTAGGATCCTTCTTAGGTAACCCCAAAAAGGAACTACTCTGGGGCCTATGGGTAAACCCTAAACCAAGCTGGTCATATGCACCTATCTAACTCTAACGGTACCAAGAAACCGGGTCGCTGCTGTCCATCCTGAGCCCTAACCTGTAAACTCCTAAACTCCTAAGCCCTGATTCCCAAACCCTACACTTGTTTAGAGTTTATAGGGTTTAGAGTTTAGGGTTTAGGGCTTGGTGTTCCTAAACCCTAAACCCTAAACCCTCCCCCCTTACAACTGAGGTGGTCAGACCAACAACGTTTTGTACCTTCGCCTGCTGCTTGGGGTCAGCCTATTCGCCGAGCTCAAGGCGGTGGAGTAGGGGTTTAGGGTTTCGGTTTAGGGTTTGGGGTTTAGGGTTCAGGGTTTAGGGTTCAGGGTTTAGGGTTTGGGGTTTCGGTTAAGGGTTTACGGTTTAGGGTCTTAGGGTCACCATAATAAAGGCTACGAAATTGGGGTACTGCCCCGAAACCCAAAACCCTAAAACCTAGGTTTACCAGAAAGGCTACGTTTGGGGTACTGCAAGGCTTCCTGGAAGGGCTGATAACCTGTAGTTGGAGTCTTGAGCGTTTATAAGGGGGTTTCCGCAAATAGGGGACCCTGATATAGTACCCTAAATAATAGGATCCTTATTATAAGGACCCCAAAATAACCCCAATTTTCGGAAACTCCCATAAGGGCTTAGGGCTTAGGGCACAGGTTTGGGTTGGGAGTGTGGGGTCCGGGCTGAAGGATCCTAGAGTTGAGAGTGTAGGGGTTCAGGGTTTGGGGTTTAGGGTTTAGGGTTTAGGGTTTGGGGTTTAGGGTTTAGGTTTTTGGGGTTTAGGGTTTTAGGGTTGGTGCAGGGGTGTAGTCTGGGGTTAGGAGTGTAGAGGTTTACAGGGTTTAGGGCTTGGTGTTGCGAGTGTAGGGGGTCAGGGTTTTGGGTTTGGGTTTGGGAGGCAAGGAAAAGGATCCTGTTTCAGCGGCTATCTGCTGATTTATGGCTAAACCTTATCAGCCCTAAACAGTCTTAATCTAATCAAGACCACACGTACTAGATTCGAAACCGGAGGGCACCTCCCCTTTAACTGTGCCTACAACCCTACTCCCTGAAGCATAGCTTCTCAAAGGCCAATTTAATTGGAATGGGTTTAGGATGGTGTAGGGTTCAGGAAATTCCTGAACACCTCCCGATTTAGGAGTTTAGGGGTTTAGGGGTTTAAGGGTTTAGGTTTAGGGTTTAGGGTTTAGGGGTTTAGGGGTTTAGGGTTTCTGATCGGTTATAAGACCCAGAAGGCAGCAAGCCGACCGGGAGAGGCGAAAGCAGGACCGACAACAACTCCGGCCAGAGATGCGCACACACGCCGTCGTGCAACGGAATCCATGACCGCCCCATGCCTGCAACTGCATCCAATACTATTTTGGGGGCTCCTTATAAGGATTATGATTATAGTATATTGGGCCCCGAAGCCCTATTCTAATTATCAAGGTCCCTAAATTAGGCTGAACCTGGCCGCTAGGCAAGAGTATAGTCTCTACCCCAACAAACAGTGGACCCGGCCAGACAGGAAGCGCTCAGCATGGAGCTGGTGGAGCGATGCCACAGAGTGGGGGACCTGTCTGGTTCAACCATGAGCCCCAAGACACGACAGACATCAAGTAGGGTTTAGGGTTTAAGGTTTAGGGGTTTAGGGGTTTAGGGTTTAGGGGTTTAGGGTTTAGGGCAAGCCCACCAAGCAAGACATGGGAATAAGCGGGTCTTCCCACGACAGGAAACACAGGTGACGTGGGAGACTTCAACGCCCAACATCCGCGTTTTCTGGCCCTGGTCATAAAGCTGCAGAGAGCCCAACGACTAAGGAGTTGCAGATGGATTGCTTGGAAGCTATCGTGACAACGCAGGTCTGTCAAGCCTCTCTAACCCGGTAACCTATACCTAAACCCCAGGGCAGCTGTTTTCTAACAAAATAGGTTGTTGGGCTACATGGTATCATGGTAACCTGCTCTTTAGCTAGCTGCAGCCCACTTGGGGACCAGCTTGGCGTTTCCCAACCGTCCGCCCTTTAGAACGGGACCTTGAGAGCACCCGGCCCATGATATGAGACGGTTTAGGGTTCAGCCTAAACTCTCAACCCTGAACCCTGCACCATCAAACCCTCAACTTTGCACTCTACAAGCTCAACCCTAAACCCTTAACCGCTTTAACCCGAAGCCCTAAACCCTCTTTTCTAGACCCACAACCCTCAACCCGCAGCCCTAGATACGAAACCGTAAGCCCCAAGCCCGAAAAACCTGAAGCCCTAACCCTACCTAAATCCCACCTGAAGCTCTAGAACCCTTAAGCCCTAAACCCTCAACCCCAGCAGGACGGCGATGCCACGATGACCGTGCAGATACCGCCAGGCCCTGCCTGTGATCCGGGCTTCTGTAGGCCCAGCAGATTTAGGGTGTTAGGATTTTGGGTGTTAGGGTTTAGGGTGTAAGGGTTTAGGGGTTTAGGTGTTAGGGATGGTTAGGGTGTAGGGTTTTGGGTTTAGGGTTTAGGGGTTTGGGTGTTGGGTTTAGGGTTTAGGGTTTGTCTTTCGATTGTGGGCTTGTAGGGGTTAACCGCGTTTGATCCAAGGCATTACGAAGCATACCGAGGGTCTCCTCGAACGAGTGGATCCATCGGACCTCCCCATAGGGTTGCAATGCAGGCGGCATGTGTTCAGGGTTTATACACAAGTCGCGGAATACATGTGGATCGACAGGGAACTTGCTGTTGGGGGTTTCGGGCGGGACGATGGGATTGAATGTTAAACCCTAAACCCTAAACCCTAAACCCTAAACCCTAAACTAACCATCACGAGCCATCTGCTTGGGGGCTGAGTGCGCGAAGTTCGGGATTTAGGCTCTACGGTTCCAAGGTCTGGCTTTCGGCGGGTTTGGGCTCTTTAAGCTGTAGCTGGACCCTTAAACGCCGACCTTTTTAAGGACTTGTATAAGGTTGTCCTAGAAAGGCAGGTAGGCTAGGGTTCAGGTATGGCTTAGTCCCAAACTCTACATCTTCAAACGCCCTAGGATCCACAGAAGCTACAGGGGAAAGGCAATCTTAGCTGGGCTCTGATTAAGTAGTAAGTTTGTACCCTTATAGTCCCTGTATAGTCCCACACATCTACCTCAACCATTGGCAACCATGGGAACCCAAAACCCTAAACCAAGAAACAGAGTTAAAGTCCTGGGCGAAACCTTCGGCTCCGAAATCCTTCCAGAGGCTATGCTTGTCTCGATGCAGGGGCCGCTCCCACAACACTTCGCAGCTTTCGGCACAGAAGATCACCCCTAAAGCGTTCGGTTTGCGCAGATAAGAGCCCAACAGACCTGGGTTCAGGTTTCACCATAGAGAGGCTCAATTTGGGCATAGGGAGTCGAGGGTTTAGTAGTAGAGACCTAAGGGTCCATGTACCCAAATAATAGGAATTTAACACCTTGGCCCCAAAGCTTTAAGGTACTCCTTTACGGCCAAAGTATACATATACATATATCATTATATCCTATTCGGGCACACGGACCCTTAGGGTAGGGCTTGGGTTTGGGATTTCGTTTTGGTGGAGCTCTTCGGGGAGGGAGTTTCGGGTTGCTTCGTCAACCTCTATCCTCCGACACATAAAACCCTAAGCCCGGAAACCTTCATTCAGCCCCAAACCTTCCGGTCCTTAACTTTCTGTAAAACGACCCGCAAGCCCACTCCTCTTGTATATGAAGACCCCTACAAAGGGCTTAGCCGGTTTAGCCTTGGGATTGCTGGCCTGCACGCTATTCCACCCCCTAGGGTTTAGGTTTCAGGGTTTTAGGTTGAGAGTTTATAGGGCTTAGGGATACGTTAGGGGGCCATACTCCCTATTCCACCCGCTACGCGTTATGTATACCCTAGACATCCCGAACCTGAAGACTTGCAAGCCCTGGGGTACCTGAGTCAGTTAAACCCTAAGCCCTAAACCTTCAACCCCAAACCGCAAACCTTAAACCCTGAATTTGTTTACCTGTAGGGCCGGGTCCAAGACGGATTCGACAGATGAGGGTTTGACGGTTTGCTGTTACTGATGTCAGCCTTTCACCCTACAGCCGAAACCCTTCCTCTCAGCCTTGAACCCTTTGTTGAGCCTACCTTGTCAAGAACTTACATAACCCATATATATATATATAACTCATATATATATATATATGTGTATATAATATATATATATATATATACACAGGAA